CCCCAAAACCCCAAAACCCCAAAACCCCAAAACCCCACTATGCAGGTGTTAAATTGAATTTGATAAATTACAGTTGAAATTAGCACTCTTCCACATTGTCATATATCCTTCTTAAGGTATCATTGTGAATTTGTCTCTTTAGTTTCATCTTTGTTAAAAGATTATGAGTATTATCTCCTCTCCCTCCAGCAGTTTTGTCAGGCCTCATTACAGCTAACTTCTGGTGGAAATTTACTTGAGTCTTAGGTGCCTGAAGACAATGATTCTTCTTAGTAATTCTAAAAGATAATTGATAGATTTACTGGTTGTTTCTGAATTTTACATAATTTATCTGAAAGCAAGGTTTAATCTGCCGATGGAGGGGACTGAAAAGGCGGAACTTCAAAGGAGATTTAGGACTCTTATGTGCCTGACAAGATGATGTAGATTCTTCAAGAATTACTGATTTGTCCTACAGGGTTATGAAATCAGTTACCTCTCAAAATTTTACGTGACTGGAATGAGAGTCTCCTATAAAGTTTTCTTCTCACCTTACTAGGAGCGATTTTGCTTTTAGACTTATAAAAATAGCTCTTTGTGTTGCTCTTAGAATGAAGATCTAGATGGGAATTTGTCCTTGACTTATTTTAAATCTATATTCTATGGCTTTTACAAATACTAAGCTTTATTATTTTATTGTCTCCCATGCCCTACAAGTTATAAGCCTATCCTACAATTTTGAGGTTATCATGGGATCCTGTTTGCATGTTTCTGTATCATTTATACTAATCCATACTTTGTAGCACTTGAGTGTCTTTTCATGCCCAAAGAGATGATTTTTGTTTCATCGAAACTTCCTCTTGATATCTTCTTAAGAATCTCTAATGACTTGAGATTCTCTATACTTGATTTCCCTAATATTTTACTATAAATTAATGGCTAACTAATTACCTTGGTGTATTCTCTTCAGCTTGGATATCAAGCTGGAGTTTTCTGATAGCTATGAACAATTACATATTATCTCTTACTTTTCTGCCTCATCTTATTTCCAGAAGAATCTTTGTGATCGGTACTTGTCTATATCTCAAAGACAGGTTCTTACCTCTAACAAGTTTGCTTTCTAGAAGATGTTTCTTATGCTTCTCTTGATTTTTCTCTTTTTCTTGCTCCTTTATTTCACTGTGTTCACTTTGTTCATTCTCTTCGAAAAATTCTTCCTCCAGGCTATCCAGAGGTTTCTAAAAAATGTGAAATTGGGAGACTTACTCTTGAATCAATGGAGTCAGTGTCATCAACATTGCTATCAGTGGTGTATCTAATTCTTTCAGTTTTTAACACGGCTGACCTATCTGAAGGCCTCAGTGTCTCTCCTAGAGTTTTAGGTTTTTCTTACTTTTAGGAAAGAACCTTGAGGGAGGATGACTAAATTCTCTATTTTTCTAACTATACAGCTTAAGAAAACGGATAGTTAATATTTTACTTTTGAAGGTCTAGGTAATTTTTCTCTTGAGAAGGATACACATTTCTTGCTTGGGTGAGGTGTTTTTGGATCCACTTTTGCTTTCTTTCTTGCTCTGAAGGATCAAAAAGCTCCAGAATAGTTTACAGCTTTTCTAAAATACTGCTAAATTTCTTAAAAATTGAAATATTCAGAAATATTTATATTGGCTTATTGAACTTAACAATATTCATGAAGGTATTCACAACATTTCTTGTGTATATTTAATCTTCTTACCGTCTCTCACTCGCTGTAAATGTTCCTAGTCCTCTCTTGGGAGTATTGAACAATCTCAATGTGGTGAATGGTAAGACTATATCCTATTTTAAACTCCACTAATTTAGTTTTTGAGGGCAATTCTGTCTTTAAATAAGCACTAAATTTATTCCACTCAAATGACATATATTTCATTAAGAATTTGTGATATTGAGAAAATTTAGTGAAGAATAAAAGGACTAAAAACCATACTTTTCTGCTTTCTTTGAATACGCTTCGCATGCTTGATGAGTTTCGTAAGAGAGGATTGATTTGTCACAATAGCTTTGGCTGATAAGAGTAAATATGATATAAATTACCAATTGACTCCCATCCAGTGTCTTGAGTCTCTTCATAGACAGGAGGAGGACAATCAAATATTAGTGGGTTTATCATCCTGACTTTTCTCGATTCTTGACTAAAGAGCAAAAGTTAATACCCATTTTATCTGAGTTTTGAGAGCTTACTTGAAAGAATTTAAATACATGAAGAAGATTAATATATTTTATATAAAATCATTGTAATTAAAATTAATGGGGTTTTGGGGTTTTGGGGTTTTGGGGTTTTGGGG